TCATAAAGGAAAAGGCTTCATTCTTTTAACTTTCAGTATGGTGTTAGCTGCCAGCTTTTTATATATGGCCTTTATGTTAAATAGATTCCTTGTATTCCTAGTGTGTTGAGTATTTTTATTATGAATTGTTGTCGATGTTTTTAAAAGGCTTTTTTTCCTGTATCAGCTGTTACTGTGAAGTATTACACAGATTGTTGTTTCTAAGTTGCAACCAGCTTGCATTCCAGGAATAAATCCCATTTGGTTGTGGTATATGATCCTTTAAAGTTTGCTGCTGAAAGTTTGTCTTGCTTGCAATTTGTTGAAGAGTTTTTGCATTAGATTAATCAGGAATATTGCTCTATAGTTTTCTTGTAGGGCCTTTGCTATCTCTCACAAGACTAACCTCATTGATTGAGTTTGGAAGTGTTTGCTCCCTTAATTTTTGGAAAATTTTAAAGAGCATTTATGTTATTATTATTATTTTTTTCCAATATATGGTAGACTATGATATTGGAGTCATCTTGTTCAGTACTTTTCTTTGATGGGAGGTATTTGATCACTGAATAAATCTCCTTCTTTTTTTTTTTTTTTTGAGACAGTCTCACTCTGTTGCCTGGGCTAGAGTGCCATGGTGTCAGTCTAGCTCACAGCAACCTCAAAGTCCTGGGATCAAGCTATCCTCCTGCCTGAGCCTCCCGAGTAGCTGGGACTACATGCATGTGCCACCATGCCCAGCTAATATATAATTTTTTTTTTTTTAGTTGTCCAGCTAATTTCTTTCTATTTTTTTAGTACATATGGGGTCTTGCTTTTGCTCAGGCTGGTCTCGAACCCCTGAGCTCAAATGATCTGCCTGCCTTGGCCTCCCAGAGTGCTAGGATTATAGGTGTGAGTCACCATGCCTCGCCTCAATCTCCTTTGTTACTGGAGTGTTTAGATTCTCCACTTCTTCATGCTTAAGTGTTTGCTAGTAGTGGTGCATTTCTAGAAACTGATGCATTTCTTTTTGTTATCAAATGTGTCATCATGTCATTGTGCAGTCTTATTCTGTTAATTTTTCTTTTCATTTGTATAGAATCAAATGTAATGTTTTCTATTTCCAATTTTGGTCACTTATGTTTTCTGGGATTTTTGTTATTTTGTATTTTTTAGTTTATCTGGGTAAGGGTTTATCAGTCTTATCATTGAATGTATGATCTGTTAGTCTCATGACTTTCTTAGTGCTTTTCCATTCTTTATTTTGTTTGTTTTCTAATCTTTATTCTTTCTGCTACCATTGTAATTAGTTCTTGCAGTTTTTTGAAGTAAAAAGTTAGGTTGTTTATTTTTAATGTAAACATAAATAGATATAAATATTTTTGCCAGCCCTATTTCTGCTGCATTTTATTTATATAAGTTTTGATATGTTTTACTTGTCTTTTGTATCAAGATGTTTTCCAATTTCCCTTGAGATTTCTTTTTTGATAAACTGGTTTTTTAAGTGTCTTAGTTAATTTGTACACATTTGTGAATTTCTTTTTCTGTATATTTCTGCATTTACTTGGGAATAAATAATTTCAATTATCTCATTCTTTTAAAATTGTTAAAACGTTTTTTCCAGTGTCTTAACATGAGGTATATTTTGGAAATTGTTCTGTGGGCATTTCAGGATAATTTTTATTCTGCTGGGTTATTAGGTTGTATGTTCTAAGTTTATTTTGTCCAATTGGTAGTACACAGTGATGTTGAGTTCTCTGTTTTCTTCTTCTTCTGTATGTTTCTTGTACTTTGAAAATGGGGTATCAAAGCCTACTACTATATTGTGGATATGTTTATTTTTCCTTTGAATTCTGTCAGTATATTTCATTCTATACTTAGGGACTCTGATGTTTGGTGCCTGTATATTTATAATGGTTATATCTTTTTGGCGAATTGACCCTTTCCTCATTTTATAATAATGTTTGTCTCTTATAACAATTTTAGTTTAAACATCTGTGCTCTCTGTTATTGGTATGGCCACCTCTGCTCTCTGCTGGTTACCATTTGCATAGAATATCTTTCTGCATCCTTTCAATTTCAGGCTATGTATGTCCTGGTAGTTCAAGGGAGTCTCTTCTGGACAGTATTCAGTTGGATCCTGTTTTCTTCTCATTGCAAAGTTAAATCCTTTAAATTTAAAGTAATTGTTTATAGGGAAGGCCTTACTAGTGCCATTTTGACACATATTATGCATAGAACTTGCAACATCTTCTAGGTTTGTTGTCCTTCATTTCTCTCTTACTGACTTCTTTTATGTTTTGTTGATGTTTTTGGTAATGACATGCTTTGATTCCCATTTCATCTTTTCTTTTTGTTTTTTGTATAGGTTTTTTTTTGTGGTTACCATTACCTTTACATCCAGCATTGTATAGTTATATTATTGTATTTTAAAATGTTAACAGGTTAACATCAATTATGTATAAAAAGCACTTCTTTACATCTCTGTTCTCACTTCCTGTTACTGCTATGAGGAATTACTTTTATTTATTGTGTATTGCCATTAATATATATGTATATGAATGTATAGAATATATAAAACACATATATAGTCATATAGTGCTTAATAATTTTTTTCTTTCAAATGCTTGAAAAATATTAATAATGTCATGTTACAAATGAAAACTACAATACTATGTATTTGTATATTTGATCATTTATTAACCATTACTGGAGAACTTTATATTGCCTTAAGGGTTAGAGTTACTGTCAAGAGTCCTTTTCTTTGATCTTGAAGGACTTGTATTTCCATTTCTATTGCAATAGGTCTATAATACTGATGAACTCTGTCAACTCTTTCTCTAGGAAAGTCTAAATTTCTTTTATTCTCACTTGACAATTTTTGTTTTCCTTAAGAAGTTTGAGCATATTATCCCACTGCCTTCTAGCAGGCAGGCTTTCTGCTGAAAAATGCACGTAGTCTTATATAGTTTCCTTTGTATATGACAAGTCTCTTTTTTCTTGTTACTTTCATGAGTGTGCCTTTGTCTTTGACTTTTGATGATTCTTTTTTTTTTTAATTTTGGTGATGATTATTTTTAATGTATCTCTTTGTGAATATTCTTGGTTACTTTAAGTTAGAGTGGTGAAGCTCCTTGAATTTGTATATCTATTTCCTACCTCAAATTTGGGACCTTTGGACATTATTTCTTCAGATGTGATTTCTGATCCTTTGTCTTCTGATGTAACTGCCATAGTTTATGTATCGTTGCATATACTAGTATCCCAAAAATCTATTACAGTTTGTTTGCTTTTCTTCATTATTCTTTTTTCTTCTTTTTGGAAGTGATAATTTTGAATAATCTGTCTTTGAATGTTCTTCTTTCCTCTACCTTACTTATTTAGTCTGCTGTTGAAACTTCTAGTCAATCTTTACTATATTTATTGCAGCTCCAGAATTTCTTTTTATTTAAGTATTTTCTCATTTGTTTGATATTCTTCTTTCAACTTTTCATTTTCTTCATTCATTTAGTTCTGTATCTCTGTTATCTTTTAGCTCATTAAGTATCTTAGGACAGTTGCTTTAATTGTTTGTCAAGTAATTCAGTGGGGTGTGTTCCTTTAGGTTTTGTTTCAGAACATTCATTTTGTTCTTTTTATTCGGGCATGCTTCTCTATCTTTTTGTCGGCCTTGTAATTTTTAGTTTAGGTTTGGGCATTGGTAAAACAACCATCTCTCTCAGTCTTTTCCCCCTAAAATTATGCATTGGGAGACCTTTACTCATCAGCCTGTTGTAAAGGATCTGGGAGTACTCACTTCTTTTCTGGTGATGTATTTGATTTTGCACATGGTATTATGAAAGTATTATCAGCTTCCTTTAATGTTTTATTTTCCCTGAGAAACTCATCCCTGCTTTTTTCAGAAGTTTTGGTTTCTGTTGTATTTCTCTGCTCATAATGTCTGTGAAACACACCAATAATCTTCCTGCAGACCCATGACTGCTCTAATGCTAATATTACCTCACTTCCTTTTATTTTCAGCATTGCAAACATGATATAAAAAGTATGCTGATATTCCTTTCAATGTTGAAGTCATGTGGGACAGAATCTAATCTTTCTCTCAGGCTCTAGGAATGCCAGATCTATAAATTAAAGTTCCACTGTTTTCTTCCTTCCCTAGGGAGGAGTTGTGTATTGGGAAGTGATGCAGGAAACAAGCCTATTAAAAATCAACAAGGCCCTCAAAGAAGAATGTTGTTTCTATGCAGACCATACGGGAGTTGTTAGAGAATCTATGGCTAAGGTCAGAGAAGGGCTTGCCCGCCGCAAACGAGAATATGAGCAGCAAACTGGCTGGTTTGAATCCTGGTTTAACAGTTCCCCTTGGTTAACTACGCTAATATCTACCCTACTAGGCCCACTCATTATATTACTCTTAGTCCTCACGTTTGGGCCTTGTGTAGTTAATAGACTAGTGACATTTGTAAAAGAATGGATAAGCACTGTCCAGCTACTAGTATTGCAACAACAATATCAGCAGCTACGGTCAAGTGCTATAGAACTAGAGCACCTAAGAGACCTTGAGGATGAGCAGGAGTGCTCATCTGCTACCTAGAGAAAGGGGGGAATGTAAGGCAGAGGAAGGGCAGAGGAATTTGTAGGACAGAGGAATTTTCCAATTATCGGGAATTTACTTGGGTGGGGCAATGAGCTAACCGCAAACTTTTGCTTCTGGTCATTGCTTGCTTGCTACACCGCTGTATGGGGAATTATGGGATGAGGTCATTGAAGCACGGGCGACTAGCCCATCAGGCAATAGAGGGCAACCAACCCACCAATTATTTCAAAAGGCAATAGTGGGCAACCAATCATTTTAAAGGTCAACGCATGATCCATGCATAGTCAGCTTGTGCGCAGCTTGTGCACCATGGGGATAAAAGGCATGCCGTTGTTCCGGTCGGGGTCCTTGCCTGCGAGAGTGGCCGCTGCGTTGGTGCTCTGGGGCTTGGACCCTGGCTAGCCAGAAAATAAACCTCCTCTTGTGTGATTGCAAAAAAAAAAAAAAAAAAAAATCAACAAGGACTAAACTTTCAGCTCCATCTGCGAGAAATGCAGCCTTTTCAATCTGAAGGGAAAATTTATGAATATAATCAAGTTGAAAAGTCTGCCAACCATATTACCTCATTTTCACCACTTATAAACATTCCTTCTAAAGTCAAAATCCACATATTTAATAAATATAAGAATGACTTTGTTAGTTCTCCAGTGCTCACACAAGAACTGAAATTACACATCAGGGAAAATGCTTACAGATGTAATGAGGATGGCAAAGCCTTTAGTGTGTCTTCAGCCTTTCCTATCCGTAGAGTAAGCCATACTGGAGAGAAACCTTCCAGATGTGAAGTGTGTGGCAAGGCCTTCAGGTGCAATGCAGCCCTTGTGCTACATCTCAGAATTCATACTGCAGAGAAACCTTACAAATATCATGAATGTGGCAAAGTGTTCAGTCGAATTTCACAGCTTTCTCGACATCAGACAATTCATACTGGGGAGAAACCTTACAAATGCGATGACTATGGCAGGGCATGTTCAGGTCTTACTACCCATATGCTCATCCATAGTAAAGGTAATCCTTACAAATGTAAAGGATGTGGCAAGGTTTTCAGGCATCAGTTATCCCTGGCAGTTCATCAGAGAATGTCTGGTGGAGAAGAACCTTACAAATGTCAAGAATGTGGCAAGGTCTTTAGTTGCAGTTCATCTCTTAGAAAGCATCAGAGAATTCATACTGGAGAGAAACCTTACAAATGTAATGAATGTGGCAAGGTTTTTATTTTGTATTCATACCTTACACGACATTGGAGGATTCATACTGGAGAGAAACCTTACAAATGTACTGAATGTGACAAGGCCTTCATACAGAAGATAGCCCTTATACATCATCAAGAAACTCATCCTGGAGAGAAACCTTACAAATGTAATATGTGTGGCAAGGTGTTCTGTGAAAAATCAAACCTTAAAATTCATCACAGAATTCATACTAGAGAGAAACCTTACAGCTATAATGTGTGTGGTAAGGTTTTTAGTCACATTTCATGCCTTGCACAGCATCAGAGAATTCATTTGTGAGAGAGTCTTTCAGACTCAGGGAGTTAAACTCATTATGACTTCTGGCATTAATCAACATCAGAGAGTCCATACTAAGGATAAATCAATAAATGAATGCAACATATGTGGCTGTGGCTTTATTTAGGCCTCACCACTCACTACACATCAAAATGTACTTCTTCAATGAAACCACACAAATGATATGTTTATGATGCTAATACCCAAGGACCATTACTCTGGAACATCAGGATTTGCACAAGAAATAAGTCAATCTCTAGTTCTCCAATATTAATCTATTATATTACATGTTGGAGAATAATTACAAGTCAAAATATCTGGAGCCTCATGTATCAAAGGTGCAGGGACATATGGATATGGTCAGTGATATTTAGGTTATACAGTATTTAATTTTTTAGGGTTCTTTCAAAAGGCTACTTTACTTTTTCTGACATTCAAGCAGAACTTTGAATTCTCTTCATATGCCTTGTGGACATTTCATTGTGATGTCTGGGAAAGACATAATAGGATGATAGGTCTGAATTGATTATAGAGAATCAATTTTATCCCATATCTTGGAAGAAAAAGGACACTGCCTTTTGAGATTAATTTTTTTTTTCCTATTTTTAGGGAGACAAGGTTTTGCTCTGTTACCCTGGGTGAAGTACAGTGGTGTGATCATAGCCCACTGCACCCTCTAATTCATGGGCTGAAGCTGTCTTCCCACTCTACCTCCCACATAGCTGGGACTACAGGTATACCACACCAGGTCTAGCTGATTTCAAATAATTCGTATTTGAGTGAAAAGTCTCACTATGTTCTCCAGGCTGGTTTCAAACTTTGGATTCTAGTGATTGTCCCAACTTGTCCTCCCAGCATGCTGGAATTACAGATGTGAGCCACTGTGCCTTGTCCTTTGAAATTAAATCGTGTCTGAGAGAGGATGATAGGCAGAGAATGACATAACCTGTGGTGTCAGTCTTCATGCCTAATGCATACACAACACACTTCTCCTGAAAGAGGACACAGTGGGTTAGAAGAACGAAATGTTCTAACAACTCACAGAAAATGAACAGACCACAAAGCTTTAGACCCTGGGAATTTTATGGGAAGAGTGTAATAGGTTCTTAAGGACTAGTTAGTTGTAGCAATAATGCTGGGATAATGGTTTTCACCTCCATTGAATGACAATAGCTGTTGTTTAGCAAAGATTGATGAAAAAAAATAGTGTTTCTTTGAGGCTGAAGAGAGAAAATTTTATTACAGTAGATGGTTTAATAAAAGCTACCAGTAGAGCATGTTCTTGAGGAGGGTTCACATTTACCTCTTGCCATTATAATTTGTCACTATTTTATTCAGAATATATAATCCTCAATTTTAGATAATAAAATTAAATATTTTTTTCATAGCTATAAATAAATCACAATGTTTTTACCAACATTCTTTTATTCCACCTCAGGAAGATTCTTCATAACAGAGAATAATAATGTACCATTAGGCCTTTATGGTTGAAGCATCTAGAACAATTTTTTGGTAAAATCAAAGAACATACCCTTTTGGGTACATAAACTTAGGTAAGTATGATTTGGGGTAATCATTCTTAGTACTGAAGTTATTCTGTCTACACTGTGCCCTATAATACTTATGTGCAGGTTCAAACTCTTACACCCTCAAACATACATCACTGTTGAACATGCACTATATTATAGTTCTCTGTGTTTTTCTCATATGCCATGTAGGAACCCTGGCATGCACCTTCATTTTCCTTAAGCAGAAATGTGCATATAGTAATACAGGAGTTATTATGAAATAAAAGTATATGTGGGGAATAAGGATAAAAATAACAGCATGTCTTTTTTGTCCTTGCAGTACTCAGTGATGTAATTTTTACATATTATTTTTCATGCATTTTGTTTTATGAATAAGCATAGAAAATGAGAACTTTGTTTTGCTGGATAAACTAGAAACTACCCTTGTAACACTTTTTCCCAAGTTGAACTTTGTGGGGCGCGGTGACAACGCCATTACAAGATGGCGCCGATTTCCGGTGGCCCGCCTGTAGTAAACAAGTTCAGCGCATGCGCAGAGTAAATCCTGGCCTGTTCTATAAGTATGCATATGAAGGATCTTAGCTTGGCCTATCAGTAATAGATAGGGCGCTTTTAACCTATCCCCATCACTTCCCCCCTTCCTTAGAGTATATAAGTGTGTGAGAGCTTGTGCTCAGGGTCTTCCGCATCATGTAAGTCTAAAGGGAACCCCATTAAAGCACTGTCAGAAGAACTCCAGTTGCCGCGTCTTCCTTGCTGGCGAGGCGGGCGCGACAGAACTTTTCACCACTTCCTGGAAACTTGATTGATACACACCTAACTTTTGGTTTGGATATTGAGAATGATGCTATATGCTGAAAAGGCATGAGAATTTTTATTGCACAGTGAGGCTTTCTGAGGAAAGCAGAATAGTCTTCCACAGCAGGTCCAAAAATGGCTTCAAAATCATAGGAT